CAGCCCCAGATAACAGGAAGCCCCTTCCAGACCCTGCAGCTAAACCCTAATGCAGACATCTTCAGTCCTTCCAGAAGTCATATTCCAGACAAGAGTGTCAGCAATAGGGGTGATCTAGTATGATGGAAGGCACAAGAATTCGATGGGAAGCATATAGAGCACAATTTGAGCTCCTCGCAGAAATGAATGGATGGATAGAGGCACAGAAAGCAGTGTACCTGGCAATAAGCTTGAAGGGACAACCACTGGAAATACTTGGACAGTTGTCAGCAGACAACAGGCACAACTACAGAGCACTAGTAGCTGCTCTAGAAATAAGGTATGGAATTGAAAATCAGTCCAAAGTCCACAGGTATCAAAACCCATTTTTTAGTGTTATAAGCCTACATCTTTACTGGGGGGTACAAGGAACAGGATGCTGTTAAAATATGTGGACTTAAACGAATTTTTTAAAAAGGTTGAAATATTTGTAACATTAAAGATATTAATGTGTGATTAGCAGAAACTCCTAATTGATTAACTGTTTGGCACATTAGTGAATTACATTTATTTAATTGATTATTCTCATGAGACTTGAAGAGTTGGAAAAATTGAAAATAATAATAATTGGAAACTAATTTTGATTGGTTAATTGTTTTCATGAGTCACAACACTATTTGACTAAGCTGATCAAACTTAAATTAATTGAAGTTAATAATGAGAAATCATAATGGCAATATTTTGATTACTTGGAATAATTGAAATCACTAATTCCGGTAAGTTGATTATTTTTGCGAGTCATGACACTAGTGAACTTTAATAAACTTGAATTAATTGAAAATAATAGAGAAATCATAATGATTCCAAAAATCCAAGTAATCAAAATATTGCAATTGAAATCACTAATTCCGGTAAGTTGATTATTTTTGCGAGTCATGACACTAGTCAACTTCAACAAACTTGAATTAATTGAAAATAATAGAGAAATCATAATGGCAATATTTTGATTAGTTGATTATTTTCATGAAGGTAATTGATTTAAATCATAATTTTGATTAATAAATTATTTTATATGACACTAATCAATGTAATTGATGCTCATAGGAATTATTTATATTAATTTATTGCCAATGTCTAATGTGACATGATTCAACTCTTTCAAGACAAAAATATCAATATACTGTGCCAAACTTTGAGAATACATGTTTTATCAACAGTATTTATTTACTGAAATAAAAGGATATCCAGTTACAAAAGAAACAAAGTTCACCATATAACAAACAAAAATGTATGTCCTCAGCTGATATGATTTTTCTTTTTAATGCAAATAAGTCTACTACTACAGAGAATACTTACTGACATTTACTGTTCATTCCATTTGCACGTCACTATCTAAACAATAATTCCAGGCATAAGTGCAACAGAAAATGCAATTTAAATCCTACAAGATGCAAGTCTGTGGTTTCTTTGGCTCACTCATTGCTTATTGAATGTTTTCAGTTCAAAGTTATATGTCAGTTATAGTAATATGGTCTTATTATTTTTAAGATATGTAAGAACATGTTGTATGGAAAGTATATAAATAAACTTTAACAATTATATTTTCATAAAAACTCATAAAACATCTGAAAAATAAAAACTTTTCACAACAAAACATATCACACAATCTCTTTTCTTTAATCCAAGATTATGTACATTTAGATACAAAAATATGTAAACTTATAATTAAGTACAAGAAATTAATAAACCTTCAAATAAAAAAACATACAGTACACATACTTACAGCAAAGTATAATAAACATATAATAAAAATAAACCTATAATTATACAAAACAACAAATTCACACCTGTCCCATTAGTACAAACGAGAAGAAAAAAAAAGTTTGTAAAATAAAATTACCCTAAGTACGATAAATCTAAAAGTATAAACTTGTTTGTTTGTTTTTAATTATGCACAAAGCTACACAAGGGCTATCTGTGCTCTGCCCACCACGGAATAGAAACCTGGTTTCTAGTGTTGTAAGTCTGCAGACAAACTGCTGTGCCACTGGGGAGCTATAAACTTGTACTAAAGTATTATAAACACATACTCCAGTATGCAGAGAATCAGAGTCTCAGTACTTGTACAATTAGAAAGAATGAAATTATTTGGCTCCCTATGATAAAATATTTGTGTCCACATTTTTTCCATCTTCATTTAAACAACTGCATACAGTATATTACTATCTCAATACCAGTTTCATTTGACCATGATATGAAGAACGTTGGAACAGGTCAGTTCTTCTCACTTAAATATCCAGGTAATAAAATATCAAATTCTAACATGAATTTTAAGAAGTTGAAAAAGAATAGCAAACTTAAGTACAGCTATCTTGCACTGTATATAGGTAAAGGGTGAGCTTCACTGTTGATTACATATTTATCCAAAGAAAGCTCTTGTTGGTCACTAAATAGAAGGTAGAAATACTTCAAAGTCTCTCCTAGGAAAAAGCTTTCCATCATGTCACGAGGATTAACAAACAGAGGATGACGCACATCGTTAATTGTGGTGTAGCCTCCTGTTTTGACTTTGGTGTATCGTTCAAAACCTTGAAAGATATTCCACCCCCAAGAACGATAAGTCTCATTACGAGTAAAATAATACATATACCACAGGCTTTCAACAGTTTCAGGGCGTAAGAGGTTATGAGCATCATTACTCTGAAAAATATAAAACAATGAAATAATAACTAGTTTTATGTATCCTTAAAGTTATATGTATGAATCTTTCTTTAATGTTACTTTCATTAATAGTATTAGTTAAAATATTTATACGCTTATTTTTTAATTGTTATATACATATATATACATTTTATTATTACAACAACTTAACATTGCTAACTGACCATAGTGACTTAGGACTAACCTAAGTCTCTTAAGTTGGACGAATCTTGTGAGATATTATTAGGATTACGGCCAAAAATATTGATAACAGCTAGGATACTAAACTGATAGATCACTGTATTCTAATGGTTACGAGTTTTTGTTTTAAGACACTGTATATTCTTAGTTAGACAAGAATATGAATTTAGTCTTATTATCTATTGGTTAATTTTTAGTTCTTACCTATGTAGGTAGCTTGTTTTGATGAAAATTTACTGATAAGTAGAAAACAAAACAAAAATACTGTTATAGATTTTTAATGTGGGTGATAAGTACATTAACATTTTAAGAATGACTATACTACTATCTCAATTCCAATTTCATCTGATCATGATAAGTACATGGTCTGGACAGAAAAAAATCTGTTGATCAATTCACACGTTCAGTAGCAGCCAACTGTCCAGTGTCCCACTGCAAGTATGTACACTGTGTTTGTCTACTGATTTGAATAAAGATTGCATTCATGTTGTATAACACATTGTACCCACTCTGTCTATTTCTTTTCTTGAACTCAATTAGTTTAATTAAATTGAGACTTTACTTTGTAAGTTATCTTACTGATCCTCTTGTTATAAAGCAGACCTACCTACCTAATGCTCTTTGAGGAAATCAGTTTAACTGGAGAATACTACATATATTGCAAAACTTTAAAACATCTTATAATTTATAAGAGAGAATCCAATATATCACAGAAGAAAGCTAGGTGTTATAATGTTATAAAGTTACAAATGCAAAACAGTCATTATTGAAAAATAGAAATAAAATGAAAAGGGTCAGATATTGAAAACCATGTTGATACTAGATAGATAAAAACATCTTCCATACTGAAAGTCACTACAAAGTCACCTTTTCAACATATCAATGGTTCG